AATTTCCGAACCTAAAGAAATGTATGTGTTTCGGCTCTCAATTCCGAATTAATAAAAAACCAACAAAAAAAAGTATTTGATACGCAGTAAATTGCAAATTTTTTATGTATCACTAAATTGTAAAAAGATACTATTTTAAAAAATGCTCATTCTTTTCAAAAAAATATTTACTACATAATTATATCAATTGATATTAAATATTTATAAAGTTTTATGTCAAGAATCAAAGAAGTTTTTGATATTAATTTTGACTGTGCACAAGCTTGAATATTGCAAATTTAAATGACTATATCCTATACTTTAGTCTATTTTCTTTCCCTTTTTAAGAAAGTAAGGTGATGTAAAAACACTCTTAAGAAAATTATTTCACCACATATGGATTTTTTTTTCCAATATACTAATCACAAAGTATTTCTAACACATGATTTTATTGAACATAGAATGCCATAGAGGCAATGCAAAATACAATTGATGCAGAGAATACTCACTCGGCTACTGAAAAAAGATTTGAGATTTCATATTGGTATTCTTCATACAATTAAGACTCAAGTAGTTCTTAGGAGTGGACTAAACTGGCTTTTAGTGCAAAAAACTCTTCTTGACCCCATTCAAACTTCCCAAGTCATATAGATCTTTGATTACAATGGGTTCCGGTTCACATCTTTGTACAATAAATACCGAGACCTGGTCTTTCCGAGCGCAGCATACCTGAAACAATGAACAGTAGTATCTGAGAGAGTGTGGTCGAATGATCGTTCTGGTTTTCAAAACACAGTTCCAAGAGAAACTTAGATTCTTGCAAAAGTTTGAAAAGTTTCTTGAAACAGAGGAGAAAAAGAAGTTCTGACTTAAAAAGTTTTCTTACCATTGAGGAACAAAAGGAGCCATCCATATGACATCACCAGCCTGAACTGGATACCTGTTTAAAGCGAAGATCACATCAAAAGTTTTAAACACTTCTTATATCGTGAGGGATATAGCTGTGGTTGCAGTTTGATTTTAGTCAAAATTCTTCAGAATTTAGATCACATATCATGAGGAAAAGTGTGTGTGTTGAATGTGTGCGGAAGTAATCTGTTAAAAATCGACACTATTAATCTGTTAGCGATAGAGTGTAACGTCGTGTACCAGTTATCGCCTAAGCGATAAATGCCTTGGCCCTCCAGAAGCAACAAGCCATGTTGGTTATAATGAACCTCCTTTTAACATTGAAAAATGATTTTAGAGGAGTTAATCTCAAAGAAGAAGAAGAAAATTACGAGTAATGGTGTCAAGATTCGTCAGGTCATGATGCTAAAACAGTTTTGTACCTTAACATTAAGAAATTCTCCAGGCTGAAAATCCATTATCTGCATAATAACAGTAAAAACGTATTGAAGCTTAGAGGTCCAAGAAGGGAAATGACTCATTAGATCATATAAAGTGCATACATGGATGTTGAAGTCGTAAGCAAGGGACACTGGAAGTAGTTTCCGCAGTTCAAAAATCTGTAATAACAACAAATTGGGCCCTCAGTGATGATTTTAGGAACTGGAACTTGACAATGATGTAAATTGAAAGCTTTTCTATGCATTCTTAGAAAAGTGGATAATTTTTGCACACTTACCTCACCGGGAGTCTCAAGTAGTGGTTGCTCGTCTGTAGAGCCAACGATAAGCTCTGTAGCGTGATTTCCTATATATTCGTACCTAGAGATTAGCAGTATAGGATGAGCTTCTAAGTTATAAATAGTCAAGAAAACTCGAACTTTTCTTTTCATTTTTGGGGGAAGGAGAAAAGAACCTCCGCTCGAAGACAACAAGCGTTGCAGACACAACACAGTCCAAGGAATGATAAAAGTTTGGAGGTAAATATGCATATGAATCAACCTACAGGAAAAATAGATTATCAGCAGAAAATGAAGAAACTTAAGGAAAAATCTAACAACAGAACAATATTTCGGTCAGTTGTTCTGTATACAAATCATACCATCAATTTTTTTGAAGAACTGGATGTGTTAGTGAGTGTCACAGCGCCCTCGACCACGAATACAAGTCTGCGAGAAGATTCAAGATACTAAAAAGAGTTAGGTAGCAGAATATAGGTAACAATTATAAACTATAAAGTGATAGGAGTGCAAAAATACCGCTCTACATCCTGTGGAGGTAAACCTGAACTTGACATGTCTGCAAGAAACAGTATAATCAGTTTGATGATCACCACATTCTACGAGTATATACAAGACGCAAATCCTAAAACCCTTAAGGTCACTCACCAACACAAAGCTAGTTCAAAAACATAAAGACAGGTCTAGAGAGTATTTATATCACCCATTGAGCTATACAAGAAGGGCAACCCCACAAACTTAATGTTCATCACTAGTGAGAAGACAATGATTCAGATTTCAGACCTTTCATTTTCGCCAAGTACATGACAAAGTGGGAACCCATTGCCGGTGTGACCAAATACGCCCCTAATGTGTTCTTCCTGTCAAATTAAGCAACAAATAAGCACAAGAACTTGCCGACTTTTGTAGCCACAAAAATGAAGAAAAGTAGGGAAGTAAAAGAACATTATATACCAGTCAGGTAGAGGGCTGTATACATGACTTTCCGGCGTTATTAACGCATGATCTTGTTTGTAGACGCTTCTTGTGTAACCCGGCAAGTCTATAACATAATCAGAAATTCTCTGCTTAAGAACTTGATGAATATCCAAATGCAGAGTTCACAATTCCAGATTCTATCAGGAAAATGATCTAAAATATGCAAGAATCTAACTGAACTTGAATGCTTCCATAATTTATATGTTGATCAGTCAAGTTCGATACAAAGACAAGATTTTTATAAGAACCCATTAAAAACCTTGGAGGTGCGAAGGAGATAGCGTCGGATTTGTGACTTTCCAGTAAATGGGTTTCGATTCCTCATCCGATTCGACGATCGACGGTGCTAAACAGAACCCATCGTCGCTTTTCGAAGCTTTCACAAGACCTTTAAGAAACTCTTGATTAGTAACGGAGTAAACCTAAAAAAAAGTTATGAAGATTCAAAGAATCGTACTTACTGATAATGACGAAGACGATTAAGTGAAGTGAACGCATTTTCGTCTACTAGGTGAGGATTAGTGGAAACGATTCAGGTTCAATACTCTTTTCATTTGGTTTATAAAAACAAAAATCAGAATACGACAGAAGATTCTCTGCAGTGGATGTTTTGTTTCGTAGTCCGTGACGGTCTCGTTAATAATTCCTTTTCAAATTAAGTAATTTCAGGTTCCTCGGTTTTGCTAATTACCAGATTTACTTCGGTTTGATTTGGTTTTCTGTAGAGGATTAACCTAACCAAACCGAATAGTCATAATAATTAATTCGACTGGTAAAAAAGTCCATATACCGAATAGTAATATTTTAAAATAAGCATAGAAAGATACATTGAAACTACTAAAGTATTATTTTTTTGTTATACTAATTTACTCAAAATCAAACTAAACATTC